TGCTTACAGTGTTATCATTAGGTAAAGTAAAATTGTTATATTCCTACTTCATAGTGGATACTGCAAACATAATAGGTAGTGTTGATATAGCTCACCTGAGTTGACTGACTGCCATGTAATTTAGCCAATATGACTGTAAATATTAGCCTTAGATACCTCTCAGACATTTGTAGCCTGAAAAATAATCCAGAGAATTTTGGGAACAGTTCTTGGTGCTTACTCAAGTAAGCTGAAATGGGCCTATAAACTTTCACTCTACTTTGCTTCTTAACACAACTCAGAGAGTTTCCTTCTTGTATTCCTTTTTGGATGTACTATCTACTGTGAAAGTTTTGTTATAAGAGGAGTTGCTTAATGTGAGAAGAAGGGATAATATGCAGTTGGAGTTCTTCTAAACAGAGGTAGAAGCTTGTTCCACTTAAGTGTGGTTATCACTGTTTATTTAATAATGTGTTTTCTCAATGTAAACCTTAATGGTGAGATTAAAGGCGGTTATGCTTGCTATAACTTTAGAACACAAATCCATGAAACCAACTTCTAGTTACAAATGCCAGCCTGAAAAAAACCTCACACTTTCTTTTTTGTGTGTGCTTGTCAACACACACATTCTGTACAATGTGATAAGACACTTGTAGTTAACATGTGCATGCAACCAAAATAGATTAAAGGCATGTACTGAAGTTTTTAAGACAGTACAGACTAAACAATCAGGAATTTAAGGCATGTTAGAAACAGGGAGGGAAAATAATTGTGCTCCTTTATTCAGTCTTAAAATGAAACAAAAATTATTACATAGCCTTCTAATTGACAGTCAGAAATTAGTCTTTTGAAACAGTAAGCATACATAAAATCGTGTTTAGGAATATGAGAAAAACACTCTTAAGTTCACTAAAAAGAAAAGTAAGTACGTAGATTGCCCCACTGTATTTTCATTTGTATAATGAAAGATCCAGCAGGCAGCTGCTTACTTCATAATATCCTTAAAAACTTTGTGTTGCTCCTCTGGTCTATAAGAATCTGGCCCTTATGTCCTTATCAATGTCTATATAATTCCCTTGCATGGGATGCAAGACAGATGACAAAACTGTCATGCAGTCAGATTTCTGGTTTAGCTAGCTACATGCACAGTCCAGCAGAGCTAGATACCTTGCTGGGATCCTGCAACATGCTCTGCTTTCCATGCAATATGCTAAGCATTCTCACATCATAGAATCTTAAGTGCTCTAAAGAGCACTGAGGAAAACTAGCTCATTGTGTCCTGAAAGGCTGGCAATTCCTATTTTGAGTCATAATTCTTAACATAAGTTCTAATATATACTAAATACCTTGCAGTTCTGCAGTGTCTATTTAGCTAGCCTAAAGAAATTCCTGTGAAGTCCTAACACTGCTGCCAGATGAAAAGGCAAAAAGAAAACTTAAACGAAAAGCAGAAGTCAGAATCATTTTGCATTAAATACTGGCTCATGCTCTGTCCATTAAAATGCATTTTTTGTTCTTTTTAAGATTTGTTTTTGCCAAGCTGCTGTTCAGGTTCCTAGTAATTATCTACAGGTTGTTAAAATTGCCATTTTCATATCATATATATTTCATATCATAACATATGCATTTGATATGTTAACTGATTCTTCTTGTGTTAGGCTGTGAGAATGGTAGCTGATGCTTCCCAGCTGCTGAGACAGATAAGGCATTTCATGACAGTTTCATGAAAAATGTTCTGTTCTAGCTCCTAGGCTCCCCACACTTTTCTCTCCGTATCAGCCTTTTTTCCCCGCAACAAAAGTGCAGCTAGGCCATGTGGCCAAACATCTTATTCCCCTGCTGCTGACCCAGCCCAGACATGACATCAGTACTGGGGCAGGATATGTCAGCTTCCTCAAGGCAGAAGGGAGCATGATGTAGGAAGAACTGAGCTGAAAAGTTCTCGGGGGATGGGAGGGGTGTATTATAAATTGCATATTTTAAGCAAGCAGAATGGAATCTCTTGAAACAGGCAGACAGATATTTGCTGCTTAGATTTTTATCACTTAAAGGCAGTTCATACCAAGTCAAGGACTTTAAACCAAGTTTGAGATAGTAGGAGAGGGCAAAAGCAGGCCAATTGAGTAAGTCAAAGTCATTTAAAAAGGTCCAGAAGGAAGTGATTAGGTCTCAGAAAAATGAGGCCAGCAGCTAATACAAAATAAAGCAACCCACTTCCACAGAAAGAAGCAACCCATTTTCATACATAGTCAAAAGCATGTGAAAGAGGTGTTATTTTAGTGCAGCTCATGTGCTTAAGAGCCATATCTTAATCTGTCTTTGATAACTTGCTGCTTTAGATATACTCATGGGTGCCTCAGGTTATATGTAGCCTAAAACCCACCATTCAAGAATAAAAGGTGCAAAAGTGGTATTATTACCTGTTTGTTAGGGGGTTTTGTCCTGTCTTGAGGGTTAGAGAAGCTTTTAACTGCTGTGCTTAGGGAGTTTTCCAAAAGCCAGTCAAACTACCCTCAGAACTACTTTGGGCTGTCCAAGCAGCACAGAATAAATGCCTGGCCTAATACCCCTCTGTTCCATGCCACTAGAAGGGATGAGGTGGTGTCTCTTTCTGTCTTATTCACAGATGGGGAGATGGGATGTTTTATGTTTTCTTTCCTTTTTTCCCTGTCTTTGCCACCTGCCATTTGTGAGTATTCAGAGGTCAGAGACTCAACTGTTAAGAGAGAGAGCCTGAAACTTATGTAAGGTAACTCTGACTTTTAAAAACCAAAGCAAAAATTCAGTGTTTTAGAAGACAGACAGAGGCATAATTAATATTAAAAGTTATATAGCTAATGAAAAAACATGTCCCGAGTTGCAGTTCAGTCAGGTAAAAGAGGCTACAAGAATCATCAGAGATCTTTTTAATAATATCAATAATCACCCACTATACACAAAATAGCACAATATACAGGGTCATTGGATCATCAGGGATTTTTGCTCTCTAGTTAGGTGAGTATGATCAATTCAGAGTCCATCATCTCCCTATAGTTCTGAAAAGCAAATAGGCAACTACAAATTCACCTAATGTAGGTTAAAATTTAATGAAGGATTGATCGTTGATCACTCAGCAAATTTGATGAAAAAGCACCACCGAGTTAAGAAGCCTTTGTCCATAGTTTTGTGGATATTAGAGTGATATTTGACTTCATCAGTGGATAAAAAAGTGTGACTTGTGTTCCATCTGAATGGTGTGGAGTAAGTGGAAGGGTTTCAGGGACTTTTTTATTGTTTTGTCCTTTAGACGTGTGTAAATATGCAAAATGCTAGAAATAATTACATTTCATTTAAAAGTTGAAAAGATCCACCTGAAGTGTAAGTTTAGCCAAGGCCACAAACTTATGTGAGTTTCAAATATATGTAATACCTTACCATGCCAAAGCCTCTCAAGGCTTTTTATAGATGACCTACAATACACAGTAAATGAATGAAAACAAGCAAATCTTTGGCTTGAGAGGCAACTGCTGAAATACTCAGCAACAAAAGCAAGCAACAGAGACAGAATGTATGAAAGTGAAAGAATGAAACAAGGTCAATAAAGAGTACCTAAGGCACCTTGTTAAATAGTCATCTTTGCTACACTCCTTAAGACCTCCAAATAACATATAAAGCTGTAAATGCTAAGGAATGTGAGGATGAAACAACTGAGGAGACTGAAGATGAAAGAGCAGAGAACAAAATACATTACTCTTATTTATAGTTAAAATTCTCATGATCAAAGGGTGTGAATAAATATATTGTTTTAAGTGATAATGAAGTAAAGAGAAGAATTAGAGCTAGGAAAATGAATGAAAGGAGGAACCAGTACCATTAAGAGTAAGTTCATTTGATATTCATGAATTGCAAGTCAAAGTGAAGTAGAAAAGAAGGCTGGAGATTGGGATATTTCCTCTGTTGTCTAGTGCATTTCTGTCTCAAGTACTGTAGAGGGGGGAATATCCCCCTTAATTTAAAAAACAAAAGAATAGGAGAGTCCAGTCCATACTTGCTTTAGGAATATGCACTGTACAGCAGGAACTGCAAAACTGTCCTTGAAAAAAAAAAAAAAAAAAAATGCAAAGGAGAATTTTGAAGAGGCCTGGGAATTCTGTTTATTCTAAAATAAATAAATTGATCACCACCTTAGTTGAGACTTTCATCAAATGCAGTATGTAGTGGACTGGTATTATAAGCTACATCTGATGACAAACTGGTTAAGTCTTGATTTGGCCACTCCTCCCTGCAATTCAATACCAATTAAAAAAAAAAGAAAAAAGGGCAGGGGAGAATTCCATTACTACTCTGGCTCGGTACAAGATGGTTTCTTAGTCAGCTCTATTGAGTTGGCTTGCCTTTCTTATACTAGAAAATAGAGTGTATAATTAAAAGCTCTCTTTGACATAACTGGCCTACTACAAGTTTGATGATCTGGGTGCAAGATGTTCAGTCAGCTTCCAAATCTGTGTTTCCTCCCTGGTTTCCATCAGAGGGAAATTTATCCTTTTACATACTTTCCAAGAATAAAAGTCAACAAACCTCTATCCATCTCAGTCTCTAGCCTTATTTGAATACTAGTTCATCTATGCACACCTAAAAGTTTCAAAACACCATGAGAGATTGAAAGGAGAAATTGCTGAGAAACCTGTGGGTATCCAAACGTGTGCAGCAGAGTAGGAAGTTAGGTCAGCTGAGTGCTTCAGAGGATATAAATACTTCTTAGGGGTTTTTTTGTTTCCACATAGTTTTTGGACTATCAAACTAAAGTCTGCAGTAGCCAGAAGCCTGCTTATGTGTTAATGCATATTAATTAAAAACTGTACAACAGCATTTAGTGTTCATGAAGATGATTGTTATGCTTTTGGCATTTTTAGGAAAGCACATCAAGCTTTAAAATAGAATAAGACTACTGTCTTTCAGTACCTAGACTTTGTGCTCATGAAGTACAAAAAACCACAGACATTTTCCTCATTGTCTGCTTTTACCTTGCATTCTCCCCTCAGGTATGGCCCATTTCCTGTTCCCTTGGAGCTACCTTTGGCTATATGGCTGGTCTGATTATTGCACCTCTGTGGATACACTGGAACCGGAAGCAGCTTACATACAAAAGCAGATAACTGGAGCAAAAAGAGACAAGGTATTTCTTTGTGCAGATTCCATACAGACTGTGCAAAAGTTGGGGTTTTTTAAGATATATATATATATAGTCAAAGCAGAAGACTGTCCAAATTCAGTTAGAGTATTTCAGGCCAAGCATCTCCACTCAATAAAATCACATAAATGCCATTTCAGCATGGTGCAGTTTTTGCTTCCTCTAGACTGTGTAACCCTGAGAGATTGTACCTTCCAGTCTGAATAAAATATTTGTAACAGATGTGGTGGCTTCTTATTACAAGTTCGTTGGGTTTTATTTTATCCCTCTGGATTTCACTGGTTGTAGAAGGCAGAATCGTAGGTTTAACTTTCAAACCTGGAACAAATTCACTTTGTACTTAATGCATTGTATTTAAAATCAGTAGAATTTCACAGTAAGCCTGGCCATTGTCAAATGTCTCTCACGTGATCAAACAGCAGTTTATGCATCTTGAGCCTATTCTCTTCTTCACTGTGTGTTTCTTTGGAGTTAGAATAGCTATAATAGCTTCATCAAAAACAGTCTTCAGTCCTTTCTGCGTTAAAGCTGAACACTCCACATAGCAGTAGGCTCCTATCTGTCAAGAAAATAAGTTAATTCAATTGCAGTATGTCTCAGCTGTTCAATTCCATCTGGGCACTTCTGCTTTTTTCCCCCCCCCCACAGCAACATTACAATGTTTGGCTGCAATCTAAAAAGTTATCTTCATGTGCATCCCCCTGTAGGAGAAAATAAGATTTGTCTTTCATCCAAAGATCTGGAAGATATTTAAGTTGGTTGGTTTCTCTGGGAAACAAATAAGTTCTTGAGATTGGCAGTGGAAGCCTAAGATATGGTTGATAATAAAAGAGCAAAAAATAATTACATTACCCATTTGTGTTTCAAAAATAAAGGCTCTGTAAGTGTTCTGTTAAGCGTTATCCACACAGTAGTTATAATAGTAGTATAACATTCTCAAATAATGTCCAAAAGATGCTTCCAACATTTTGCTTGAGCAGGAGAGGTCCCTTTGAACCCCTACCAGCCTGTGGTATAATAATCTTTGTCTAATATTTATATGGCTTGTATAGCTTTTACAAGTGTCTGCACTAAAAATTAGAACTACTACTGACCAGAAAGTGTTACATAGGTCTGCTTTTACCTATATTCATTAATGTAAGTGTTGTTAACTGGTAAGCAGTCACAAAATTTCAGATGTGGACTGCTAAAAGATATGCAAAAAGTGGTAAAGCAAAACAAAGTCAAGTAGAAATAGGGGTGTTTTGTTGTTATTGTTGTTGTTCTTTGTTACTTGGTTTCATTTAGGCATATCCAGTTTACCTCTTTTGCTAATTTCTGTCCTTGCTCCACAGATACGGGCTTCTCTTTCATATCATTCAGTCTTGCCAGAGTTTTTGGGTCATCACGGAGATCAATCTAGTAAGAGAGATTGAAGTCATGCTGGAATACTTTCTCTAAACAAAAGTTAGCAGGCAATATGATACCCTCTTTTTAAATGAGAACTATTCCATGGAATATTATCTCTGTAAAAATGGAGTCATGTCATGTTTCAGATCATGGACCTTTCCTGATTCAAAAGCCCTAAATTTAAGATGTGAACCTTTTATCCCGAAGGAAGAAACATTTATTCTGTAATTCAGCACTTCAGTTAGATGTGATCATCTTAGAATACCAAATGCAGTGGCAGAAAGATTAACCCGAAGGTAACACTACCATGTGGGTCACTTCATAAATGAAGCACAGTCCACTACCCACGAGAAGCAAGAGGAAATTGTCTCACTTCTCCCCTTTTCCTTTGCTTCAGCAAATATTGCATGTGACTAATAGTTGTAGACCCAAGTAATTCCAGTAACATGGGCATGAGCAGACAATTTTATTCCGTAAGTTCTGTGACTTTTTAGAAAGTCACATGGGAGACATGCAGCCAATCTTGCCACCCTGCTTACAATGGACATAAGTTTGTTCTTTATTTAATGGAGATAGCTCATTGGAGAACAACACATATCTATGTTTTTCTGCCACATGTAAGGGTTGTTCCTCCAAAGGCAGAAGGAGGTGCTGCTTAGGTCGTGTTGGGCCTCAACTTGCAGCCCAGTGTAAAGGCACCGTACAATGATCCTAATTGTTCAAATAAAGTAGAACAGAACCAAATATACCTGTGTTCCTACTAGTAAAAAGGGAACATTAGGTGCATATTCCTTCAACTCCGGTACCCACTCTTCCTTCACATTTTGAAATGAAGCAGGGTTTACCACTGAGAAGCAGATAAGGAAGACATCGGTCATAGGGTAAGATAAAGGTCTCAGACGATCATAGTCTTCCTAAGGAAGAAAAATTCTGTTATCTGCAATATTAAATTGTTGCCTGTATTTTAACAGTTATATTCAGAAACTGTATTTGTATTTCATTAAGGTTGTTGAGGCAAACTTTCTGAATGTTTAAAACTATTCCAGGTTAGTGTCACTGTTAGAGCAAAATCTACATATGAAGGTAACTATATGTGAATATAAATATTTTGAAAAATGTGTTAATACTGATAGAAACTTGCTTCTCTATGAGAATATACTGAAGATTACCATTCAAAAAGTTTTCACTTAAGGAAAAAAACCAAAGGCTTATGGTTCAAACATACTTGCAGATCAAAGATTAATATTTGTAGAGAAATGAGCAGGTGTGACTACTGTAGAGTCATCCAGGTTTTACAAGGCTAGGCTAGATTAAGGCTATTTGATACATTTAAATGTTCTATTTTGGATCATACACAGAGGGGATATATAAAGCCCTTAGAATTTTCTTAGTCTCTTAGAAACCTTACAGTCTTGTTCCTAGCATGCAGGTCAGTAAGAAGGACCAGAAGGGACCTCTTTTGTCTAGACTGTGCTTTCTATCAGCAAGCCCAGCAAAGGATCAGATGGAACAGAAATTCAGGATCAAGAACACTATCAGTGGAATATTAATGCCTTTGTTTGTTTGTTTGTTTGTTTGTTTGTTTGTTGGGAGTGTGGGGGAGGAGTTAGTGTGGAAAGATTATTTAGGACATTTAAAGCCTCAGCATTTAGAACCAGCAATCCTACTGCCAGAGCGTACAATACTGTGGCAAGACAAGTACTGGGGAGTATTGCCTCTGTTGTAAAGCAGAGTTCTCTCTAGCAAGGGAGAAAGTGGATTTTTGCCCTGTGTTTTAGCTAACAGCCAGAGGGAACATGCCCCAGCTTCTCTCTGCAAGGCTTCCTTTGGTCTTCGGCAGTGAACCAATGCCTTAGCATTCCTACCATAGAATTTTGGTGCAACATAGATAACTAAGACTGAGCCCAGGCATTGCAGGGACACTGACAAAAGCTGGATTTATACCTTCCCCAGTAAACACTGGTTTATTAGAGCTGCTGCAGCAGTTTCCCTCTTCCCCATGTAAACTCCCCACCTTAATTAAATCTCACAAATATTGCAGTGATTTGTTCATTAAACGTAGAGACAGAAATGTAATTCAAGTCCATGTTTGAAATGAGCCAGAAAATTAAATTTTTGTTTCCTCGGCAACAGCCACATTACCAGATTATTAACCTATAGTCACACCCTTCATTGATTTGTCAAGTTTTAAACATGGTCACTAAAATTTCAGAAAAACTGTGAGAACTTCCTCAGAACAGTTTCTGCTTGGCTCATCTTTTCATTTGGAAGTCAACAGCTCTGGGAAGAGAGCTGTTATTCTCATGTACTGGAGGAAAGACAGGTGCAGGCAGAAATTCTGCAGTAGCAAACAGGTGATCATTACTTGTCATACTCTCGTGCCATTTTGAGTATCCACTCTAGTTTTGTACACAGGCTTGTCAATTAGCTAGAGCATGCTTAATTGTTGACATGGCTTCCCAATTTCACAACCACAGTAACTGACACCACTTTCAATCTAGGACATTTGACAAGCCTTTTCCCTGCCAGTGTCAGTCTCTTGCCCCAATTCAGAAGAAAAAAACAGTAACCCTATATTTTCCAAATCTCTGGATGTTCATAATAGAAAGCAGAAATAACTTCAAAACACCAACACAGGAAGTTGAAACTCTAACATTCAGTTGGCTTTTTTTAGGCATGTATTTTACGTTTCACTTCTACAACTGAATCCTGCTCAGGATTTCATTGTTTTCTAGGGTGGAGATTAAAATCCTAAAAGAAACTTCCCAACTACCAATTACTCTGTTCCCTGGAGTACAAAATCTGCGTGAAAGAACACGCAGTGGGTCCGTCAGTTGCTCTGAAATTCAGCTCTAAATCATTTATGGGGTATTAGTGAATAAATTGTGTTTTTTAAAAATCTAGTTAAAAGCTGTAATTTGTTCCTACCACCAAAGAGCTGCCATCCCCATACTCTACATTTTCTAAAAATCTCATATCTGGATTAGGATGACTAGTATACTGCCTGCACAAAATGCTGGAATGGAGAAAGCATTTCAGTGTCACCAGAAATTACTGTTAGTCCATTAACCTTAAAATAGCTCTTTAGTTAATCCATTTCAAATTACAGATGGACCTTTTATTCATAGCAAATATTAATCATTGTCTTAAAGCTGGTCTCAGGTTGAACTCCTTTCCTGCTCCTGCATTTGTTTATGTGCCTTTTGATTTACACCCTGTCTCACTTGCACTGGGCAAGCTGTGGGTCCATCCAGTGTAATTAAGAAGTTGAACGGAAGGCAAGTACAATGTGATTGGATACATCATGTACCAGGGCCAGAGGTGTGTGTGGTATTTGCTACAGTGGCTTCACTGCATTTAAGCTTCCTTAAATTATCCGAAAATTTAGCTATGCCCACCAGTTCTGCTGCTTAAAACATGTCAGTGCTCTCAGGCTTTCCTTTAAACCTTGTCTGTGCTCTGAATGTCAGGTTTGCATTGATACTAATAGTGACAGTAGTTCTGACAAAGCCTCCTACCACATGATTGGACTGGTCCTGAGTCCTCCTGGGAGAAAACCCTACTTAAATTTTGTCAGCATCTAGTAGGCCATCTGTGCTTAAACACTTCTTCTGCCTCCCAACAGCCCCTTAGAAACAGCAATAAACCTGTAAACTTTCTCTGATGTATTGGGCCAACATAACTGCTACAATTGGGAGAAGAATCTGAAATATGAAATTAATTTAGACTGAATATTAGAAGCCTGGAAAAAATCTTATTACTTCAACTATAATTTATTCCCTGGATCTAGTGTAAGGGAAATAAATGTGGTTTATATGTGGTTTATTCTAACA